GCGTGCCTCATGTCCCAGGCTATGTGCTGTCAAACATAGGTGATCCCAGTGGATGCTGCTTGGAAAGGGCTTTGGGACCCTTGAGACAGAGGCTGCAATGTTGTCTTGGACATGGGGAAAGAACTGGAGAGGGGGATGATGGCCACAGAGAGGGAGAGCAGTCGATACCCCCAAGGCAAATGCTGCGTTGCAGTTAGTTTTGGGGGCCAGCGTGCATTCTCGTGGTGGCGCAGATCCGTGAGCGCCGAGCGAGCTGCCCTGCGATCAAATAGCTGTCGAACAGAACAAGCAGAGAAACGAAGCGAAAAGAGGAAGGCAAGTCCACCTGTTAGTGGGCCTCTGGGACCAAAGCCAGACAGAAAGGAAAGGGTTAAGCATGCCTTAAAAGTAACCAGCCAGCACCACCTGCCCCATCCATCATTACTGGTCAGGGGCTCTCCAGGCCAGCCACGTGCCGCACCGCTGGAGCTCACCGGTAACCCGTGTTCACGGCATAGCGGCTTCCACGTGCATCATTTACTAGGGAGCAGTTGCTCTCTGTCTACGAGCAGACATTGCTTTGTGTGACCAGTGGCATTGCAAACCCTGCCTGGTGTCCAGCAATGGGTCTGTGTTGCAAACCCTGCAGAACAGCTCTCCTGCTGTTAGCAGTCATCTAGCTAGCAAGGGATCTGGTAGCAAGAGGGAGCTCAGCATGGGGGTGCCTACCCTGCTTCTCAAGCAGGCTTTGCATCTTGCAATGCGTTCCACCATCCCATAGCTAGGCTTCTAGCAACCCCCAGCTGGCTCACGTAAACCTGGCGGGGTACGTCTGCGTTACAGTGCAGACACGTCCCGAGAGCCCAGCTGGATTCTTGTACGTGATGAGGACACTGGAGATGGACTGCTTCGCTCCAGGGATGCTGCAAACACAGAACTGGACCCTAAAAGCAATTCCAAGGATGATGCCCAGTGCAGGATGTGACCAGACGTGGCCTCCCAGCTCTGCGGGGCTGGCAGGGGTAGAAAGTGGTGAAAAATTGAACGTGCATCCTCAGCTCAGCAAATGCACCTGCTGGAGGACACATGTTAGCTGGGACGAACCACGCCGCTCACCCTAGCGCTGCACAGAGAGGCTAGAAACCCCCCTGAGGACTAGTCCAGACAGTTTCCTTCTGTTGGATCATAATTAGTGGGCGGCCCATGAATGCACCAGGATCCCGCGGGGGTTGTTTGCAAGACTTCTTCCCCCTAGCAGGGTCAGCCCTGCAAACACACGGCTAAGCAATGAAGGCTAGCAGCTTTTCCAACCCCTGCACAAGGGGGTCTCACACCTTAAAGGAGATGGTGTTAGCCATTGCCAGCGATGTGTTCACACCATGCAGGCAGCACTGACTGATCCTGGTCCAGCCCTGATTGATCCCCCCTTTCTCAGGCTGGCACGGGGGCTGATGGCTGTGGGATGACAGCAGATCGCTCCCCGTACAGCCGGGTTTCCCCAAGCCGTGAGTCGCAGCTCGTCCCCTGCTCATACTCACTTCCCCCGGGGAGGCTGTCCCTGTCGAAGATGCACAGCTTGTAGCCGAACTCGTTCTCCAGGACACCGCGGAGGGTGAGCAGCACGAACTCCTCTTCCTCGGCGTTACGGGCATAGGACACGTACACGTCATACTCCTTGCCATCTGCGCGGGGTCGGGGGGACCGCGGGGAGCAGAGGAGATGTGAGTGAGTGTTATCGGCAATGCAGTATCCCCATCTACCCTTCCCCTGGAGCCTGCCTGCAAGCATCTTGCTGAACAGTGCTCCACACTTCTTGGCTGCTCTAAGGAAAGGGATCATCTCTGAACCAAGATTTGTAGAGGTTTGCATTTCTTTTTGTCTCAGACCAGCACAGCTCCCAAATCTATCCCCACATCTCTATTGCACCCTTGCTTAGTGGTTTCAACCCCCCACCAGAACAAGCACCCTCCTGCCAGGGAAAGGCAGCAGGGGACAATTATCTACCTTGTTACGTTCATGTTTTTTGCTCCACGGTTTGTGGAAAGAGAAGCTTCAAAGACTGTTTGGGATTTTGTGCTTCAGTAAGGACTTCTTTTGTATTTTTCCCCAACAAGAAGATTTCTGTCTATAATGATCCTGCATGACTCAAACATCTACACAAGAAATTCGTCTGAAAGAAGGAGTTTTGTTTAGTGGGAGAGAATGAGGGTTTGCTTTTTTTGGTAAGATGGAGAGAAATAAGAAAACATTGTTTGTTTGTTTGCTTATATTATATACATGTGTGTATATAATATAAGCATGTGTGTGTGTGTGCATGTGTGTACATATATATGTTATACATATTAAAACGTGTGTGTGTGTATATGTGTATATGCGTGTGTGTGTATGCATGTGTGTGTACATATATATATGTTATACATATTTGATTATTTCTCTCCATCTTACAAAAAAAAGAAAACCCTCATATTAGACTGGCTGACCTCTGCAGATCCCTTCCAGCCCCACTTCTCTTCTCTGTGACAGAAGCAGAGATCCTAGCCCAGAGTCCTGAGACATGGGGTCAAGGTCACATCAGAAGCCAAGGACAGACCTAGGATTGAGACACTTGGCCCCAAATTCTGTGCTTCAGACTGAGTCCATTCTGCCCCAGCTCACACACACACACACACACACACATCCCACCTAGGATCCTTGTTGATCAACCAACAGAGAAGGCCAGGACTAGACTGGAAACCAAATAGCATCTCCCTGTCCCTTGAAATCAGCTTGTTCTTGGGTCATCTCCCATCTATCCTGTGAGCCTGTGCAAGACTCCTCCAGCCTCCCAGCCCCTGTGACGGGCTCTTCTTCCTACCATTCGTTTCACCCATTTAAGCATTTGCTTCACCCATTTAAGCAAGGGCTACAGGGGACAATAAGATGGACAGGAGTGAGCAGTGTGCCCTTGTGAAGAAGGCTGATGGCATCCTGGGCTGCATTGGTAGGAGCGTGGCCAGCAGATCCAGGGCAGTGATTTTCTATTCAGCACCGGGGAGGTCACATCTGGAGTCCTGTGTCCAGCTGTGGACCCCCACTACAGACAGGATGTGGACACATTGGAGAGAGTCCAGTGGAGGGCAATGAAAATGGTTGTGGGGCTGGGGACAGGACTGGTGAAGAGAGGCCGAGGGAGCTGGACTGATTGAGTCTGGAGAAGAGAAGACTGAGGGGGATTGAATAGCAGCCTTCACCTCCCTGCAGGGGGGCTGCAAAGAGGAAGGAGCTGGGCTGCTCTCAGTGGGGGCAGATGCCAGAAGGAGCAATGGGCTCAAGCTGCAGCAAGGGAAGTTGAGGTTGCATATTAGGAAAAACTTCCTCATCAGGAGGGTGGTGAAGCACTGGGACAGGTTACCCAGAGAGGTGGTGCAATCTCCATCCTTGGAGGTTTTGAAGACCTGGCTTGACAAAGCCTTGTCTGGGATGATGGAGTTGGGGCTGGTTCTGCTTGGAGCAGGGGGTTGCACTAGATGTGACCTCCTGAGCTCCCTCCCAACCTTCATTTTCTATGGCTGTATGAAAACTGTTAAGAAAAGGCAGGGCCCTATCTCTGAAGAGGGTAAAAAACAGCCTGCAGAGAAATCTACACAGCATCACAGGGACCAGTGGCTGGAAACGATTGCTGCGCTCCCCCAAAGCCCTTACCTAGGATGGTCTCGTCGGTGCCAAAGTGAGCTCGGTAGAAGAGGACCATTTCAAGCCAATACACGTGGTAGATGACTATCAGGACCACGACCAGCAGGATGGTAGCTCCCAATCCACAGGCCAGCTCCACGGTGTATCTCGGAGCTGCAACTGGGTGGAAAACACAGACAGGTCTTTTTTCGGTAGTACGTATGGAGCCATCATTCGAATAGGCATGGGCCGGGGTCATGCCGCGAGCAGAGCAATAGAGGCTCTTATAGGAGATTCAAAGCCCGGGCAGAAAAATGTATGTGTATATACACAGTACAGACACACCTATATTACATACATAATTATATATACATACACATGTGCACACACGCACAATACACTCACACACATGTGCATGCTGAGTATGCATGCACTCAGCCCTGGGGCAGTTTCAGATGGAGGGAGTCACAGCATAAGGAAGAAGTCCAGAAGAAGTGAAAAGACCTTGAAGACCCAATTCTTCCACGCTTCTCACACTGAAAAGGGGTCAATTCCTCCCCAGATCTCCCAGGAACATGAGCAGAAGCCAGGGGAATATTTCCAAGTCACAATTTGTCAGAGGCAGCTCCTCTGGCCCAGCTCGTGGGCTAAGCCCAAAGAATTGGCCTCGCCAAAATACTATAATTGTGAACTTTGGGAATAAACACCACCCTGGAAGCATCATTGCAGCGGTTATCACCGCCTGCCCAAACCAGTAGCAAAATGAATGGCACTCTGGCTCCTATCACAGATGTATGCCTCTCTTTTAGCTAGTCCCAGAGTGACCTCAAGTAAGTCTGTAGCCCAGATGAGACACTTTCTAGAAGATCGAAATGTCTGACAAGGAGTCTTACCTGTTTCCAAATCAAAACACAGGTAAAGGAGACCTTATGCTTGCTCCCAAGAGTCACTGACATGCCATTAGCTTTTTTCCTTACACTTGGAACAGGAAAAAACCTGCCTAGAGTCTCTGGGGAAATATTGAATTGTGAATAGTGATGCTTGCGGTAGGCGGCACGCACGTCGGCAAACTGAATAGAGATTAGTACAAGAGAGCGCATCGCAAAACTCCTGGATTAACTGTACTTTATTATTTGCAAACACACCGATCACCAGACAGAGACGATTGAAATGGAAAGCATTCAACAGGTCCCAGTTGGAAGCGAGCGACACAAAAGATACAGGAAAGAAAGAGACAAATGAATATTGGTAGGGAGCAAGGGGAAATTTTTCTTCTAGCCAACATAAAAGAAATCCACGCGTTAGCATGTGGGCTTAGGAGGGAAATGGGCTTAAGGAGCTAGGAGCTGGAATCGAATGGCATGAAGTGCTGGTCTGCAGCTAGGTGATTGTAGCTTAGGGTGGTCCTGCCAGCAGTGGTCTGGTCTGGTTCTTGCAAACTGCTGCGAAATGGAGCAGAAACAAACAAAAAAAAAGGGGGCATTTAAATCACTTGTCTACTGCAAAAGCATCTCCCAATCACCCATTCTGGGGTCTAGAGAGTCGCTGAGGTGGGATCCTAGACGGTGCCTTTCTAAACGAAGAGCCTGCATGCTGCAGACCTCCATCCTGCTAGACCGATGCACTCAATCAGCCCACAAAGAGGAACGGTAGGAGGCACTACCGTGCTGAGCGACGTGGAAAGAAAGCTTAAAATGGCCCAATAGCTCTGGCCTTCACTAATTAGCTGCCCCTTCTGATGGGCTACAAAAGGCTGCCTTGAGTGGGCAGTTCTGAAAAGGGAGGGGAGAAAAAGAGCAAGGCGCTGATCCAAACCATCTTAAGACAGGAAGGTTTTGGTCCTTACGCTCCCAGCCACAGCACAATAGCTGAGGAGCCACAAAAACACAGAGAAGTGGGGCTGGAAGGGACATCTAGTGCAGCCCCCTGCAAGCCACCCCTTGCCTAACCTAGTCCCACAACAATACAGTCAACCCTGTCGCACAACTACAAGGCCCGTGCGGCCCGCAGACACCAAAAGCTTTCAAACTGGCTGCAGGTAAAGTCAGGGACAAGGGCATCCCTGTGCTGCAAGGGGTGTTAAAATGCACTTGAGACCCCCAAGGAAGAGGGCTGTGACCCCCATTTCAGCATCTTCTCAATAAAGATGTCTGTAAACCAGAGGGCATAAGATCCTAGGGTCAGAAGGGACCTCAGAGGTCAGTGGGACCACCTCCTTGCACGGATGCTACTCACAGATCACAGCACAGAAGGAGAACAAGTCTCCTCCCTGTGCTGCTACGTGATGGGATGATACGCCAGGAAACAAGGCGTTTCCAATGCAAGCTGGGATGGGGCGGTCCGGGGGTCTCTTGCATCTGAAACGAGCCGTGCAAAGGACAGGTTCCTCGGGTGGGTGTCCTGCAAGGGCTCAGCCTTCCCAATGCACAGCGGGGTTTCTCGGGGCTCCTATGAAAGGAGCTGCCAACCACCCAAGGTCAACCGGAGCGTCTCCCAGCCTACAGAGACCTCAGGCTGGTGCTTGCCGAGGAAGGGATCGGGTCCAGCTGCTGCCAGAGTCAAAAACACCTCTTCCATGGAAGCAGGAGCAGCTGGAGAGAGAAGAGGGAAGGTCCCTGCTCTGAATGGAGCGCTTCATCTCTGTCGCACTGCATTACACCAGCAGCCCTGACTGCAGCACTCATCATCATCATCATCATCCTCCTCCTCGGGGCCTGAAACAGCGAGCCTGTCCGGCTCCCTCAAAAACATGGGAGAGGAGAAGCAGCTGCCTTCACGCAGCCAGTTCCCAGCTGGGCTTATCCAAGGAGGCTGACCACAAAGGCTTGTCAGACCAGCAGCATCCTTAAGGACTGGTCTTTGACTGGACTGGGAGCAAATTATGGGGGGCCCGCTCGAAAAATGGCACCAAGGCATTCAAAAGCAACAGCTGCCATTTGCAACCCCCATTTCCAAAGCAGCTGCAGGCTTGGAGAGGATGCTCGGCCGGCCCACGAGGGATGGGTAATCAGTGCCGACTACCCGATAAAGCCTGATTCAGGGGCCTATTCCAACAGATGTCAAACAAAAGGAGTCCCCCACACCAACACAACTAGCCCCCCTGCTTTCATTAGGAGGCTGGCAGGTCTGGTTGGAAGAATATCAGCTTCTAGCCTGGCTTGAGGCCTCGGTGACCCTCTTGCAACGCTGCCTGAGCGAGGGGAAAAGACTCTGCCGATAGCACGGATACTGAGCACTGCCTGGACAAGCAGCTCTTGCTGGGCTCCAGGGGGAAGCCCAGCTCCTAGAATAACAGACTCAGAAAATGAGGGTTGAAGGGAGCTCAGGAGGTCGTATCTAGTCCAACCCCTGCTCCAAGCAGGACCAGCCCCAACTGCATCATCCCAGCCAAGGCTTTGTCTACCCGGGTCTTAAAAACCTCCAGGGATGGAGACTGCACCACCTCTTTGGGTAACCTGTTCTAATGCTTCACCACCTTCCTAGTGAGTTTTTGCTAATATCCAACCTCAACTTCCCTGGCTGCAGCTTGAGCCCATTGCTCCTTCTGTCATCTGCCCCCACTAAGACCAGTCCAGCTCCATCCTCTTTGCAGCCCCCCTGCAGGAAGGTGAAGGCTGCTATTCAATCCCCCTCGGTCTTCTCTTCTGCAGACTAAATCAGCCCAGTTCCCTCACCCTCACCCCACAAGACATGTCCCCCAACCATTTTCATTGCCTTCCGCTGGACTCTCTCCAATGTGTCCACATCCTTTCTGTAGTGGGGGGCCCACAGCTGGACACAGGACTCCAGATGTGGCCTCCCCAGTGCTGAATAGAGGGAAGAATCACTGCCCTCCGTCTGCTGGCAGCGCTCCTAGCAATGCACCCAGGATGCCAGTAGCCTGGTTCAGCCCGCTCCAGAGCGCACGTCTAATCAGCTCACAGTCAGTTTTAATTATCTGCTGCTCAGCCTCCCCGTGCCAAGATCTCCCCTGTTCTTCTGATGTCTCTTGCTGTTTTGCAGCCAGGAACCGCCCCAGAGCAAAGCATCTCTCGGGTCTCTAGAGCGGGATGGATCTGGGGTTCATGGAGATAAACGTGCCTGTGACGGAGAATGTCTGAGCTTTAAATAAAGTTTATTTTTTTAAGGTTTTTTAATCTATGTGTAAGTTTGATGCAGTGCTGTCTTCATCAAGTGGAAAAATTAATATTGTTAGGGATTTCTGGCCTTGAACTTTATTTGACTATTATCTCTGGAGCAGAACAAACTGTTGAATGTTTTAAACAAAAATAAATCGGGCAGGGCACAAAATGGGCTGCCACTCCTGCCTGACCCAACTCGGTCAAAACAAAGAATTTTAGGGTATGGGGACGGAAAGCAATTTGGGTTTGGTTGCTGGTTGGATATCCAGGTGCAGAGATGCAAAGGTAACTGAGAACTGTGTGCAAGCCCAATGGAAAAAAGAGGCCCCTAGGGAATACCGAATACCTCTTCTACACGTGTCTCGTGTGTAGCAACGAAGTGCAGCTCCCAAAATGCAGCCCTGCCCTCCATCTCGTCCCCTCCCAGGGATAAAGTACATGCTTCCCCCTGCCAGCTATGAGCCCTGTCCAGGCCAAACAGCCCCTCTGGGCTCAGCACAGTGGGAAGCGACACAGCTGCACCAGTCTAGGAGCTGCGCTGCAGAGGACCTGGGCCGCCTCCTTCCCTTGCTCCCTGTCTGTGGGGAGGGAGAGCAAGGCACATGCTCATGTCAGGGTACAACTCGCTATCCCTCGTGTCTGTGCCACTGTTAGTGCCAGCTGGGACAGCACGGGAGCAGGAAATACCCCCTCTGTTATCCCCACAAAGGGCCGTGCCAGGACCCCAGCCGTGCCTCGCCCCAAGGTACGGCTTCGGCACTCAGGCACACTCCCGTGGCCGGCCAGGCTGCATCCCGTACCCCCCTGCGGGTGCCAATCCCTTACCTTTCATTTTCACCAGCGCCTGCTGCTGCACTTCTCCTTTGCTGTTCCTGGCATGGCAGGTGTAGTTGTGCTTCAAATCCTCCGGCGTGACCTTTGCAATCGTCAGCATCCTCACAATGTCCTTGTCTCCGAAGAGCTGGGCAATCTCGCTGGGAAAACAAAAGGGTTAGCATGCAGAAGCCCAGCGATGTGCATGCGATTTGTTGCTATTCACTTTAGACTTCTCCTTTATTTTTGGCAAAACAAAAGACAATTAACAGATCAGTCGTTCATCGCTGGTAGCGGATCGGGAGTTTTGCACTGAATGTCAATGCTCCGCACTGCACGGGGTAGCTGGTCCATGGGCAACTTCTGCCTAGTTTTACTTGTTTTCTGCTGCCCGATTGTCGGCTGTGTGTCACAGGGGATTTGAGAGAGGAGATTTCTCCAATCACTTGGGTTTCCTAAACTCCGAGTCTAATTTCTGCCTCTGCTTCCAATGTCCAGTGTGACTTTGGAAACATTGCTTCATGTGCCTGGATGATAAAGCAGGGGTGACGATCTCTCTCCTTTCTCCCCCACGTGGCCATGTCTATTTGCAACCTGCCCTCTTACTTGGTGCTGTGCAGCACTTTGCCCAAAAAAGACCCACTCTTCCCTGGGACCTTTCTGTGAGACGGCACTAGACTTTCCACAAGACACGTGATAGCAGTACAAGGTACTGCAGCAATTCAGAGGATCAGGTCAGGCTGGAAGGGACCTCACAAGGTCACGTCTGGTCCAGGCCCCTGCTCAAGGCAAGAGCATCCCGGACTAAACCAGCCTGGCTACGTGTCTGTCCAACCTGCTCTTGAACATTTCCCAGGTTGGAGAGACCACAGCTTCTGTCCCAATGCTTGACCACCCTCCTGGTCAGAAAGTCCCTCCTCCTCTCCAGCCTGAATTTCCCCTGCTGCAGTTGGAGGCATTGCTCCTTGACCCGTGCCCTGCAGCCACAGAGAAAAGCCCATCTCCCTCCTCTCTATAATTGCCCTTTAGTTATTTGAAGACTGTTATCAAATCCCCTCCCTCCCCCAGTCTTCACTTCTCCAAATTAAATAACACTAGCTCTTTCAGCCTTTCCACATCAATTATGCTTCTCAAGGCCCCTAATACATTTTGTGTTGCTCTGCACTGGGCTCTTTCCAGTCGGTCCACATCTTCCTTAAAGTGTGGATGCAATACTCCAGGTAGGGTCTCGGTGGGGCTAAACAGAGAATCACTTCCCTTGATTTGCAGGTGACACTCCTGATTAACACAACCCAGGACTGAATTGGGTTGGGGTTTGTTTTATTTTTGCAACAAGCACTATTTGCTCATACTGAGTGCACGGTCCACCGTAACCCTCAGGCCCTTCTCTGCAGTACTGGGCAGGGTGAGGAGATCTCGATCCTCCTGCTCCAAAACCAGCTGCCTGCGTCACAGGAGAACCTCCCTTATGCATTGACAGTACAGGGCCCATGACACAGAGAAGAGCTGTTCCATTATTATCCATTGTGGTTCCCAATCTGTGGTACGGGTACCACCAGCGGTACACAGACAACCCGTCAGTAGTACGCATTAACACATTGATTATAATTACTTTATATGACAAAAACTTGCTGGTGGTACTTAAGATTGAACTGAAAATTTTTCTGGTGGTGCTTTAAAGGTCGTATCATTTTAAACCGGTGGTGCGCAATCTGTCCGAGTTTGGGGACCACTGCATTAGAGGGCAGCTCTGGAAAGTCACCAGTTCACTTAAGAGCTGCTTTTCAACCCTAAATAACTTCTTTTTGAGACTTGGGCCTGAGGGCCATTTGAAATGGCCAGGAGCCAGAAAATAATGCAGCTCCCTGGGGCTGTCACTAGTCCACATCCTGATCAGCTATTAGCAAAGGGAGCTCCGGCTGATGCCCGCAGGGGCTGTGCTGGTGCAGGCCTGCGTCCAAGGTCCAGCCATGGGATAATTAGGAGAGGATGCAGACAGCAGAGGTCTGACGTGCAAATCGTTACCTTTGAGTGACTTTTATCCGTGGGTCCGTGATGTCGTCCGTGTTTTTCCCATCGATGGTCCACCATGCCTCGGTGCGGGAGTCCTTCAGGAAAGTGAAGTAGACCTGACAGGGCAGAACAAGATCTTCCCCTAGGACAGAAAGATGCCAATGAAACGCAGCCCCTCCAGCCTTCATTCTCCCTCCCCACCGGGAAGGGACCGAACACAACACCTGAGATCCAGGAAGCATGAAATAACACGGCCCCTTCCCTTGACCGCCAGCTACACGGGAGAAATGTGTGCCCGACAGGTCCCTTCCTGCTTCCTAGGAGCCTGAGTGACCTACACACATGAAGGCACATTTGCTCTCAGCTCTCTCATGAGGTGGGGAAATGCTGCTAGATCCATTTTACAAACGTGAAGACTGAGATTTGCCTAAGGTTGCCCAGGAAGTCTGGGGGAGAAGCAGGACCTGCTTTCAGACCTCTTAAACAGTGCATTAAATATAAGGTTATTCTCAATGCAGCAGTGGCCAACCACCACCGTACCAGGCACTGTATGGACACAGACTACCCGGCAGTCCCTGCCCCAAAGAGCTGGCTGTCTGCACAGATGAGGGGATGCTCTGCGGGGTGCATTAGCAACGTGACAATGTGCAGGCAGGGAAGAGCAGGTTAGATCCATGCTTTACTGGGAGGGGAAGGGGGCCAGCTAAATGGAAACTGGAGGGGATGGGAAGGAGGCAGAGGATGGGCTTAGTTCTCCCCCATTAAACCTCCCTAAGGGTGACACTTCCAGCTCCATCTGCTTCTGCAGCTGCTCCCACCCCCAGGTCCCAAAGCACAGGGCAGACGATGCACAGCCCCTGTGAGCACAGAGGAAGTACACGGACTTGCAGGTTCATTGCACTGCTTAAGCAAGACCTTCCCCATCCTGGCAGACGCTCCCCCCACACATGGCACAGGAGAGCGCGGCGCGTTACCTGGTTCCAGCTTGTAGACGACTTTCTCGTTGGGAGAGGTGAACTGCGGCGGCAACGCCTTGTTTGGAGACCCTGCGGGAATGGAAAATGGGATCCCTCCTGAGCTGAGAACGAGATCTGGCTTCGTTAGGACCATTGCACGAGCTGATGCTAACTCCCCACAGCCCCCGAACAACTCTAGCGTGTGGCTGCAGGAGCCCGTCTTGCAGCGCTGCTGCTACGAGCTGCACGAGCAACATCAAGGGCAGAATTCAATCTAGGCAGACTGCAAAGATGCTGGTTTCTTCTGAAAACCCCTACATTTTGCCACATCTGGAGAGACACTCTGGGCTCATCTGCACTCTCCCGTCTCCCCCAGGCATCTCCGATACCACTCCCAGGTCAGCCTAGAAGCCAGACTCTTCTCCTGGCCCTACAGCAAGCGGTTTGCTCCTGCCTGAAATTACTCTTCCTCCTTGTGCATTCAATGCATACCTATTGCCACATGACCAGGGCATGCTCTAGCATTCACCAGGCAGATGGGCATCTTTAGCTAAATCTGATATTTTTTATTATATCAACTAAAAATAATTAGACCAAAAACTTTTGCTTGCTTTAATGAAAGACACTGGATTTCCCCAAAGAACCTGGTCTACCCATGTCCTTAGACCAACACGGATACAACTAGCATTCACCAGGCTTTTAAAGTCCACCAAGAATTTGCTGTCATCAAGACTAAGCTTTTGTGGCTTAGTCTTCAGACCTGGGCAGCCCTGAAGAACCAGCCCAGCCCTGATGACCTGGCCACCTTCAACTGCACAGAAAAGCACCTAAAGTTTTAAAATAGGCAGGTGGAAACTTCCAAAACTCATGAGGAAACTTTGAAGCTCTTTCTAAAAGGCTGTCAACACCAATGCACACTTTCTGCTGACGGGGTGTGGTACCCACGTACCACCCCATCCTGGGAATGACTGCGTGATGCTTTGGCTATCCGTACACCAGAAGATGCAGAGCCCATTGAACACATGCAGGCCACGTATTGGTGCCTGGGGGAGTTGTCTTAGTTGGTCCCCGGATCCTTCCCCATCTCCTGCCTCAGTTTCCCTTCCTTACCCACCACCTTCATCCGCACGGTTCGGGTGAGGTTGTAGGCCCGTCCGTTCTCCTGGAAGGTCACGATGCAGGTGTAGTCTCCCTTGAAGGTGTCGCGGATGATGCCGAAGGTGAGGGTGGGCCCGTGAGGATAGATGTCGTAGAAGTCCTTCACAAACACGCAGTTCTGGAGGCAGAGAGAGGGAGCGCTCAGGTGGGGAAGCGAAATAGCTTCCCCCCTCCGTCCCCTCCCTGTAAAACACCGGCACCCGAGGCAGCGATAAGCCCAGAAACATGGTGCCAGGACTTGGATTTGGTGCCACGTATGGGTGAGGGTCTGCAGGCCAGAAGGTATGCAGGGAGGGGAAAGGTCTACCCCGTGCCTCAGTTTCCCCAGAATAAAACAATGATTTTAATGGAAAATATGATGAAAGGACATTCAAAGGATGGAGTCACTTGGGTGTGCAACCCCCTTTTAGCTGCCTCCTGAGGATGGGAGACTAAAAGCTGTCCGGGTGGTTGTCGGTGGCAGGAGAAATAGAGGCATTGCCTTGGTTTCCCATGTGATGCAGGCCAGAGAGTCTGTAAAGGCACATGGGCAGCTCCTCCTTGCAGGATGCTCCACCCAGGCACCATCAACCAGTTCCCTGCTAGCCCTTCAGCCCTGAGAACTGACTGCATTTAAATGGATTCAGACAAGAAGCCAAAATCCCTTGCTGTTTGCAACAGCTCCCCAAATCAATGCACACCACAAACCTAACTGCAGTGCATATTGCCGTGTGCTTCCTGCAGTGCAGGGGGGGAAAAGAGCACAGGATCAGGTGTGACGCTGCCACTTGGAGCCTCTTGCCACAAAGTCCCTTAGCCCTGGGTTTGCAAAGGCTATGAGGCATCAATGGCATGATCCTTCCCCTCTATTCAGCACTGGGGGGGCCACATCTGGAGTCCTGTGTCCAGTTTTGGGTCTCCCCCTACAGAAAGGATGTGGACACATTGCAGGGCAATGAAAATGGTTGTGGGGCTGGGGGACAGGACTGGTGAGAAGAGGCTGAAGGAAATGGGCTGATTTAGTCTGCAGAAGAGAAGACCGAGGGGACTGAATAGCAGCTTCACCTCTCTGCAGGGGGGCTGCAAAGAGGATGGAGCTGGGCTGGTCTCAGTGGGGGCAGATGACAGAAGGAGCAATGGGCTCCAGTTGCAGCAAGGGAAGATGAGGTTGGATATTAGGAAAAACTCTCTCACCAGGGGGGTAGTGAAACACTGGAACAGGTTACCCAGAGAGGTGGTGCAGTCTCCATCCTTGAAGGTTTTTAAGACCTGGGTAGACAAAGCCTTGGCTGGGATGATGTAGCTGGAGATGGCCCTGCTTGGAGCAGGGGGTTAGACTAGATGTGACCTCCTGGGGTCCCTCCCCACTCTCATTTAATATGAGTCTATGAATTTCATCTACTTCAGTCCAGCCACTTATGAATTATCTACCGCGGCGAGCTGGGTGGACAATGCCCACTCTGTCCCTGGGTGGGATCCAGCAGGCGGTCCCGATTCAGCATCCAGAATGGGCACGGGCAGGGCTCTTGACCCACGGGCAGAGAGAGAAGCAAAACCAGGATGGGAGAGATCTTCCAAGTGCATGACAAACTAATCCCCAGGTCCAAGCCCAGATCCTCATCTGCCCTTGACGTGCGTGGTTCGTTTGGGAGGACTGGAGCTGCACTGAGTGACTTCTGCTGGGGACCTGGCCCCCACCGAGCAGCCGACAGAAGGGCATAAATTGCTGAGAAACCTTAATAAGCCTTCCACTCAGTGCAGGTTTTCTGCCTTGCCTGACAATGTGCCAAGCGGCTGATCCCTTCTCAGGAAGAGGGTTACGGCGATGACATCTTGATGGTCATAAAAGCCAAAGATTTGCACATTTTCTCTGAGATTATTTCTGAATGGTGCATTTCCAAGTCAGATTCATCTTAACGTGGCAGTTTAAGGCAGAAGTAATATACCATTCATAATGGTTTTTATAAGGAGCGGGATGACTTGCTGTCTGCACAATGATTTCCATGGGGCTTTTTTGTTTCACTCTGCTAATTGATTGTCGAGATGTGAATTTCAATGGAGGCGATGAGAGAGGCATTTAAACCCACAAAATGAACTGACTTCCCTTTGCTAAAAATGATGGCGTTTAGTGAGAAGAGATGCACTGGCTCCTCTTAAGCAGCTGCGCTGCTCCAGTACCTCCCAGCTATGCATCTCATGGCTCTTTGCAAAGCCCCAGTGAATTAAGCATCAAAACCCCCTGTAGTAACAGGTCTGTGGAGAATTTCTTCAGATCTCTCTTCCCTGTTGCTAACCAGAGCTGCTACAGCCTCGTTTTCTCCTGCAAAATGAGAACCGGCTAGTGAGGGAGCCTAAAGTCAGGATTTTAAACAATGCATGGTGGTTGCAGATGCCTGACCAGACACCCCAGTAGGATGCCTGATTTTTAGAGCTAGGGGCATGCAGCATTTTCAGAGAATCAGGCCCCACTCGGTTGTCTCCAGCTTGGCGACCATAAGACTGTGATGCGAAGACGCAAGGCTTGAAAACTTGAACGTCACGGCAATGATTTCTCTGCTGATTTCTAGGGTACAGGATGCAAAGGTTGGTTATCTTCACTCCCAGTTCACAGAAGGGGAGGCCCAGAGTTGGTTAGCCACGAGGGCAGGGCAGCATCTTAGAGACTCGCTGGTTCATCCGATGCTAAGAGAGGAGGAAGCTGATGCCTATAAAGAAGCGACTTGCCCAGGAGCATGCGAGTGGCTTTGAGCACATCTAGGAGCTGAACCTCGGTCTCCAGAGTTACAGTCTCAACTAAGTCACTGGAAAGGAGCGGGGAATAGCCTCCAGTTATGTCCCATCGCAGGTAAGGGGGGTTTTACCAGGGACTTCAGTGAAAGCTGGCTCTGATGTAGCTCCAACTGAAGTTGTGTAATTGGGGCTTGACCTCCCGGCTCTTATACAGCGATGGCTGCGTGCATCACCATTTCCCATAAGAACCAGTCTCTCCCCCAGTCCTAACGCCCCCGACCCTTCTTACCTTGTACCACTTGATAGTTGGCTTTGCACTGGGAGGGTAAAACCCATCGATATCTGGGCAAGGGATGACCTCGTTAGCGTGCTCCAAGTAGAACATCTCTTCCATGGGCTTGATGGCACGGCTGACGCACGAACCCGGGTCTTTCTGAACAACCTCCAAGGGAAACGCAACTTTGCTGCAATAGGTTGTGTTCCTAAGGGGAGAGAAGTGGCCGGGTTGTTAGCTCAGTCTGGTTTACTTATATGCACCGAAGAAAAGCCACAGGTTGGGTCTCAGAAATTCCAGTGCTGAGACGATGCATTCGACCACATTTCAGATTTACATGCAGAAAAGAAACCTCAGTAATATAGGCAGGAGGCAGACGCGGGAGAACTTGCCAACATGACTAATGCACCGAGCCCTCCTTTGTGACTGCAACAACATTTCACAGGCACCCTGGCAAAAAACAAAACGAAAGAAAGACGTGGACAGCAAGAGAGAGGAGAGAGAGAAATCTCCTTGACCCTCTGAGGATGCTCTGCTCCTGCCCTCCTGCATTTTGGGCTGTTTCTCCATTTTCCTGACAATCCTTTGAAGTATCTGGAAGACGGGATGGATTGAGGTCCCTTCCAACCTTAACTGTCTGTTGCAAAGCGTGGCCAAGTGAGCATCCAGCCAAGAGGTAATACCGAAGCAATACCTCTGCCCCAAGCACGTGGCTCATTGCTTAACAGTGCATGCCTATGGAGTTTGCTCAGGGTTTCTTCATGGCCGTTTGCAGCTAGCAATCAGAAATGTGTCCATTAATGCTTTGAAGGTGCCAAGCCTAATTACAATGTAAATGGGCTTGGCACTGCAAATTCAGATCATTGTTGCAGTCCTTTCCCCATTCATCCTGATAACAGCGCCCTTTTCCCTGCGTGGAGATGGGAAGTGGACAGCCCAATTTCCTCCCCATATCATAAGGACTTTGAGGGTCCTGAAAGACAATCCCCACTGCCCTACCTGAGCATGCACGTGTAATTCCCTGTGTCGTTGAGCTGGGCAGGCCGAAACCAAAGGGTGTCCTTCTCCTTGCTGATCCGGCTGTCCGGGAGGCGGAAGTTGATGGGCTCCTCCAGGTCCCGATCCTGCCCGATCCAGTACCAGATGAGGGTGAGGCCGGCAGAGTGGGCCGTGCTGTAGTTGAACTTCAAGAAGGTCTCGAAGAGCGGGCATTTGATCCTGGTGGGCTCCCCATCGTAGAGCTGGATTTGTTTCATGGTGTCCACACCCCAGTCGTCGCAGCGCTCTGCAAGCAGAGAGAACAGGTGGCCCTGACCCTGCGTCTGCTGAGAGCAAAGACCAAAGCATCTAGAGCTGGGTCCCTATACAGCTGGGCTGGGAGACTTTGCCCTATTTGGGATATCAAGAAGCCTGTTTTTTCTATCCAAAAAATAGATGTTTCATCCCTGCCTGGATGACAACTCAGGTCAAGGTGGGAGAGAGCCAGGCTTCCTCGAGGGCATAAAGCAAATGCCACCCTGAGAACAGCTGCAGGGCTGCTGGTATAGGCAATGGGCATGAAGGGCACGGCAATGCAAGCTTATAAATCATCATGAGGGGGTGCCACTGCAGTGTTCAGCAGTGCCATGCTCCCGAGGCATCGTTTCCTCATCCTCCTCTATCTACCCGCTGTCTCTGCAAGCATTTTGGGGAAGGGGCTCTTGGTTTTGCATGTACACCGTACCTGGCACAGCGGACTTCTGCTACAGAAATGCAGCTTGGACAGGCAAGGGCATCGTGAATAATAAGTAGCAGTGATAAATGGGTGCGTGGAGACCTGCTGAGAGTCTCCCATAGGCAGGGAAGCTGGGGGCCAGCAGTGAGACGGGACAGTACACGTCATGGGGGAGCGTGCTCCAGGCCTGAAAAAAGGAGCGGTCCCCTGAATTGCATCCCCGCGGCCACCTGCCGACATCAGAAACCAGGATGAGGGGGCAGAGACAGCTGAGCCGTGCAGAAGAAAGTTGTTCTGCAAGCCCACATCCATCTTCATTGATAATGGAGGGAAGACAGATAAATTGCAGCCTGAAAGTCAATTCTTCTTCAGCCGGCAGCTCTTCCCTCCCGAGTCAGTGCCGGCAAAAGAGGTCTCCCAGGAAAATGGGTGCTGGCGACGGGGGAACAATAGTGTCAGCCGGCTGCTACCTGCCGTGTTCCCCAACCATGCCCCGCTGGTTGAAGGGGAGGGAGGTTATGATGCCCCAGCACATCCAGTCTGGCACCGCTGATGCTGCCCCTTCCCCTCCCAGGGGAAGACCCACTGCCAGTGCAGATCTCAGCTACCCAGGGAAGTCGTACTGAAAGCAGATTTTCAATGGACAGTTCACTAAAAACACCAGCTCAGGGATCAGCAGCCATCAAAAAAGCAAATGCAATGCTCAGGATGATGAAGAAGGGAATTGTGAACAGCACTGAAAGCATTGCAATACCCCTTTATACATCCATGGTGCATGCATTCAAGCCTTGAATACAGTGCCTAGTTTTGGTCCCCACGCCTCAGAAATTAGATACAGAAGAACAGGAGAAGGTCCAGAGAAGGGCAAGAAGGATGCTCAGGGGTGTGGAGGGGCTTCCATGTGACAGGAGACCTGTTCAGTTTAGAAAAGAGATGCTTGAGGTGTGTAGGAGAAGGGTTTGCAAGGCACTAAAGAGAGTAGAGAAAGTCAACAGGGGTTTATTATTGACTGTCTCTCTCACCAGACAAGAAAACAAGGAGTTGCAACATGAAACGAGCAGGCAAGATGGACCTAGGTCTGATCCAGGACATGGTAGCTCTTATGTTTTTACTGGTTTTGCTGCCCTGGCAGTGCTACATTAGGATGACGGCATGCTCCAGGGCTGGCCCACTGCAGAGCCCATCACGTCTGCAAAGAAGACCCAGGTAGACCAAGCCTTGTCTGGGATGATGTAGTTGGGGCTGGTCCTGCTTTGGACTAGATGTGACCTCCTGAGCTCCCTTCAACCCTCATTGTCTGTGACCAGCATCACAGTCGTGACCACGTAGGACGAACTAATACACTGCAAAGTGGCTGAGCTGCAGGGAGGCCAGGCTACCCACTGCAGGGCTGTTGGTTGTAGCCGGGTTGGCCTAAGGAGCTTCTTTTCTACCTTGGACAGCACATAGCAGCAGCAGTCTCCCAATGCCTGAAGATGGGTGTTTGTGCCCGAAAGCTTGCAAAGACCATTTTTTTCCAACTATTTAGTTGTTCTAGTAAAAGATACCGCATCTACCCAGGCTACCCACTGGATGCACTGGGCCAGACTTCACAGAGCTGCTCATAAGACAGATGAGTCTGTCAGCAACTGCCTGCTAACTGTGGGCTGAAGTCCTGGTGGCTATTTGCTCCAGAGCCATGTGTTTTCATAAAGGAAATCTGCCATTGGCCCGTGCCCTTGCAAAAGGGAGCTGTGTCTGGGGAGCAGAGCATGGGACAGTAAAGCAGGATATCTTTGACCCCGACTTTGCTACATCCTTCTGGGGCTGCATGAAGGCAGCAGGTCTTTATGCCTTCCCACAGCAAGGCCAGAGAAGAGACAGGTCTGCTGTATATGGCAACCATGAGGTTCTTGGATGCATGCATGCATGCATGCATGCAAAGCAAAGAGGAGAGAGGTTTGCATGTATATGACAGCTGTGAGATCCTTGGCTGGATGCATGCATGCAAAGCCAAAGAGGAGAGAGGTTTGCATGTATATGACAGCTGTGAGATCCTTGGCTGGATGCATGCATGCAAAGCCGGAGAGGAGAGAGGTCTGCATGTATATGGCAGCTGTGAGATCCTTGGCTGGATGCATGCATGCATGCAAAGCCAGGTTGGAGAGGTCTGCATGTATATGGCAACCGTGAGGTTCTTGGATGGATGCATGCATGCAAAGCCAAAGAGGAGAGAGGTTTGCATGTATATGGCAGCTGTGAGATCCTTGGATGGGTGGATGCATGCATGCATGCAAAGCCAGGTTGGAGAGGTCTGCATGTATATGGCAACCGTGAGGTTCTTGGATGGATGCATGCATGCAAAGCCGGAGAGGAGAGAGGTCTGCATGTATAATGTAACCGTGAGGTTCTTGGATGGATGCATGCGTGCATGCATGCAATTGCAAACACCGCAGCTCATAAGCCAGCACCGCCAAACTCAACCGGCCTCTTCTCCCAGCATAAGCCTTTGTATCATTTTGCATGGGCCAGAAAAATAGCATTCGTTTCCCATGCTTGCCAATCGCTATGGCAACAGGTGGGAGCAGGGATGGAGGGCTGTCGCTGCGCACCGCGCCGTCCCCTTTGCACAGAGCGGCATATCTCAACCAGCAGATCCTTTTGAGGGGGCTTCTCAATACGACGGGAGCCAGCCCCGACTCACGATCACAAGCTAAACCCAAATAGGAATTGAAGGCACCAACACCGCTCTGACCTGCCGTGGGCTTCCTGAGCTCTCAGGGACACAAGAATTGCTCTACCCTAGTCTGTAGTCCAAATACGCGTGAGAGCTTAAAGCTGGTGTTTTCCAGGGGGCTTCGAGTCCAAAAATGCTGAGGACCCCCGGCACGGACTCAAGAGGTGTGAGGGGTCCGGGTTTCCCAGGTGTCAGTGTAATGGCAAAGGCCGCTGATGCAGAGGGGCTCTCCCCATGCCACCAAGCAGCGGTCTGAGGATGGCGATGTGCTCACAGGCAAGCAGTGACCCCCCTCTCCCAGCCCTCTCCGGTCGATAAATCTTGACAACCGCTCCAAGAGTGCAAGAAAGGAGCCAAGATCATCGATCTCCCCTCGGACAGCAGGAGCACAGTCGGAGGGCGAGATCTCGCTGTTAAATCATCAGGTAGACGTCCCCTTCCACCCCCATGCCTCAGGCTGGGTCTGCTGGTAAGGGATGCCACCAAAATGCCAGCACCCCGGGGCTGGAGTGCGTTTAGATCTGTTGCGATGGGTGCTTTTTGCTTGGTAGGATGAATTGCTCCTGCCTCCCCCTGCCAGGATGTCCCCCCTCCCTTCTCCACGCGGCCTCATTAGGGATTCAGCAGCTTTCTCCCTACTCAGCCCCAACCAGCCATCCCCCATGTCAGTCCCAGCAGGTGACAAGGGCACTTTGTTCTCACCTGACCCCTGAATCTCTCTCCGCCGTCCGATGAAGGTCGCAGCATTTCAGTCTCAACACAGATTACATGGCTGGGCTCCAGGCACCAAGACAAACCCACCCCTTCTCCTTTGCAGGCCGCAGCCAGCACTAGGAAAACTTGGGGATCCTGGAGCTCCACCAGCCCAGATGCCTACTTCCAGCCTCGCACTATAGGAAGTCCCATTTCCTCTCCCCAAAATGCCCCTCCGGAGGTCAGAGCTGCAGCACCATGTTGCTAAGCTTGGGTGGAGGGTGCTCAACATAGGGACCCCTCCTGACCACGGGGAGCTGAGGCAGGAGGCAGGCGAGGATGTGCATGCTAATTCTGGCCCTTATGACAACATGGAAACAGCTGCATTTAAAAATGCCTGACAGAGGGAGACAACAGACCCCCTCCTTCCCTCCCGTCCCCACCCCCCGCCACGCCACTCTGCTCAGCAAAGCTTCATCCTGGAACTGCCAACACAACTTAATTTTAAAACACTAATGCATGCATCTCTCTCTCTCCCTCTCTCTCTCTCTCTATTATTAATTTCTGCTGAGCTAGACCCTACGGGTGAGACCTTGCATGAATGCCCAGAGAGCGCGAGCCCCGGTCTGGAAGCATTTGCAGATGAAGGAGGACAGGCAGGAGAAATGCAGAGAAACAGCAGCACTGCTGTTCCCATTTCCCAGATGGCGAACAGAAGTGCCAAGAAGCAAAAGCGACTTGCCCAACGTTGCACAGAAGTGGGCATCGGACCCACATCTCCCATGTCCTCACTTAGCGTCTTCAACTGCAAACCTGTCTGGATGTCCAGACACGATGACAAGGGACATGGTATACAGGCGATGGGAGAACAGAGATGGTTTGCAATGCTCCCTGGCAAAGGTTCAGGGTGTGGGCAGCCTTGTTCCAGTCCAGCTGGTGGGTCACAAGCAAGCCATCGACCTCCAGAGAGGAGGCAGAGCCAAGATGAAGGGCGTTGTAAGGACACAGCACTTGCTGGCTGCACCTTGGGATGAAGACGAAAGCTCGTCTCTGCCGAGCTCGTTTGCAGGGGGGGCAGAGAAGAGGCAGAAGTGAAGGACCGTCTGCCCTCACCCACCAGCCCTGTCTTTCATTATCCCTCTTTCTCCTTACAAAAGCTGGA